TAGAACTGTGTCTGCTACACAATCAGGCAGCCCTTAATAGTAAATTTTTAACAAAACATCGCCTCTAGAACATTCTAGCAACTACGAATTCGCTAACTAGGTGATTCTGGTAATTTATCGTCGATTCGATTTTGCAATGTATGCTTGTTTATTTATTTCAAAGATTACAGACGGAATTGCTTTTACTCACTGTTACACCTCCTGGGTAAAATGCGACTGATAATCCTACATCTTGCTTTCGCAGATATTAAATTTTGAGAAACTTCTGATGAGAAAATCACATCTTGCAATGAGATATTTTACATTGAATCTGTACACAGTTCAATTTTTCCTTTCATTGTTGCAAAAATATATTCATTGTTCTTTGCTACGGTTATTTTAATTAGTGATTGTAAAATAAGATGCGTTCGAGATGGCAATCACGACAGCAGTGTTGCAAATGTATCAAAGTATCACGTTTTGCGTGAGTTTCTGGCAACACTTCTCGTTCTTCTGTCACTTTTTGCACGCAATTTATGCAAATAATCGGCAACATAAAATTTTTGTCTGCACATCAGAGTATCAGCAAATATGCAACACAGTAGCTGTTATTACGAAGCTCGAACGCACCCATAGTTACGTTTGATAAAAGACTTGCATCGTTAACCAGATGATCTGATGCACCAGAATCAAGAAGAAAATAATTTTGTCATTTTGATTATTATGGTTGTATCCATAACTTGATACTCTATTACTAATGCTCAGCTGGTACTCTGCTGCAATACTGCAGTAATTATTTTACGCAGAACGTGTTGCTTAGAAATATGGAAATTTTAACGTATATAATAACCAATAACTTAGTTTCTTCAGCACTTAATTTTACGCTAAAAACAAATTATTAATTATTGTATATCGAAAATAAAATTAATATATATTACAAAATTCATTTACAATTCCACCAATTTTTATGTTGCGGTTGTTATGCTAGTGATGAGCAACAGATTGGCAACCTTTTACCGTATGACTTTGGCAGAGATGCCGGAATTTTCGTGTAGAACGTGATGCTTTTTAACCAAAAGTAACACTGCCGCAATAATTTCACAACGAGCACACCCTATTTTTTCGTTTCATCATAAATTCGAGCCCTGAGCATGCTTTGTGCTTTACTCAGTTTGCCTTGTAGCTATTTGTGCTTGCTTCTCATTATTTTGTTTCTCTTTCTCACATTCTCTTTTGTATGTATAATATAAATAACATCCTTCCCACAATGAAAATATTTATTTAATAGATTTATATTACGATTTCAATTTATTCTTCATTTGATACCTATAAAATTTGTTTTTATTTTGTGAATATGACGCATTATTTTCTCTTTTTACTGCTTGAAAGATTTTAGAAGAAGTGTCCCCGTCTTTAATCAGAGAACTTAGAACAACGAGAAGGTGCAAATTGAATTTTGTATGATGGTCGGTTGGACGGCTAACAGAGCTGAAAAATTTCGAGCACGGAATTCATTATTTTCTGTGGTATTCGCTGATGTTTAACACAAATGAGATGGCATAAATACGTATCTACCAACATTAAGAAAAAAATTAAATACTTTAAGAAAAAATACAAATGCCACTTCACATATGCGTGATTATTTTTTGTCATATAAACGATTTTTATGATGAAAAATTGATAACATATGATTTTTTTGCACAAATGTAGAGAGTTCGTTTATATTTTCGGCACATCTCGAATTTTCTACCAACAACACAATGTTGTTACGCTTTGTCATGGTGTCAGTCCCTCGACAGATTGACTCTTTGACATAAAATCAAAAAACGTGAGATTCGGTCATTGCTGACTGTGTCAACGGAGATTTCACATTAAGTAATGTGTGTACATATCTACATAGCAAAGCACTATCCTGTACTTTTGTGACTCTATAACTCCGGTTGAGTATGTTAAGATTCACCAACGTATAAGAGCGTATTAGATATTGATTTATTGTTTGAGTGAGTATAGCGATGTCACTCCTCCCATCTAAAAATATTGCAATGTCCTCATTGGAAATTTTTGTTTTAATTATAAACAAAAAGTTTAGATATGAAAAATTAATAGTTTTATATAATTCTCAATAATATATGTTAAATAATTAATTTACCAGCGGGTAGAGTTCTCAATGCTTTATTGGGACTTGTACGATTGTGAACGGTTTGCTTGGCACCAAACCAGAGATAAGTACAATCAGCACCGAGTTACAATCAGAGAAGGGCTCGTACACACATGTCCTCCGACATTTATAGGAGTTCAACGGAATTTAAAATACCGTAACTTTAAATATGCATAAACAAGAAATGACAAATATAAAACTTAGATAACACAGTATTGCCAGATCAAAACATGACATTATTAGAAAATAAACTTAAACTAATGCAAATAATCCTAAACATACTGCCCGGTCGAGTCGGTTGTCTCGAAATCCTCCTTCTCTATCAATAGACATAGTTTCTGGATGGCTTGCTTCATGTATCCTCTAGCGGTTCTCAACGTGACATTGTGGACCACTCCGGGGTCAAGTGTTATCACTCGACTCAGACACCAGGGAGTGGGAGGCAGGTTCACTTGTTTGACTAGAACGATAGTGTTCACCTTATATTCCTCGTGCGTTGAAGCCATTTGTTCCGTCTCTGCAGACAGGTTAGATATTCCTCACTCCATCGCTCCCAGAATCCTTGTTGAATTTGACGCATCCATTGCCATTGTTTCAGCCGGTTGCTAGGAATGTTTGATATCTGGTTCAGGCACCGCTACATAGAAGTGGCCAATCAGGAAATCACCTGGCGTTAATGCAAGTTTCTCTTCAGGATCGTCATAGAGTGGTATAATAGGACGGGAATTGAGGCAGGCCTCTATTCTTACGGCCAGTGTCTACAGCTGACTATTTCACCTGCGGACCCACACAGCGTGTCAAATGATGCGTAGAGGACTTCACAGCAGCCTCCCAGAGGCCCCAAAAACTATTATCACTATATAAACCGAATGACGAAACGAGTGAAAGCATCTAAAAAGCCCTGTGCCGATAGGTCATCAACCACCTCAATGTGTACTGCCTTGGTCACCAAGTATACGAATATTGCGAGATAAGTCTTGATGAGCGTTCGAAAGCATTTCGTTCCGATACGTAGTGTAAAAGGCCCACAGTAATCGACACCAGATGATATTACCGGCCTTGCTGCTCTGATCCTCTGCTTGGGTAAGGAAGACATTTGTTGCTTCAAGACTTCCCCTCTATGACGGCGGCATACAGCGCAGTTATGGATGAAACTCTTTACTGCTTGCCTGGAAGATAACAAACCTGAACTCGACTTCAATTGTCGAATTTCATCTGCAAAATGCTCCTCTTGCTCTAAACGGATTATAGCGTATCATGCGTCCTCCAATTCCTGAGCAACGATCACCTGTTGAGGAAAGTGTCGACGCCTTCTTAACCAGCGCAGGTTAATGGCCACTGTACCCAACAATCGAGTGATACTACTGAACCCTTCAGTTAAAAAATTAGTGTGTCCGTTTGAACGACGAGTATATAACGGATGTGAAACGAGTACAATAAATTTGGTTGTATTTCGGGTTTCGGCGAGTAAGACATTTGACTCATCCTTGCTGAGAGGAACATTACTACTGTCCGAAAACATCATCTCATCTTTCTTAGGTCCGTGCCACCAAAGGGGATGTACTAAAAGCTCGCGGGTGTGATGCCTCTGCTAGCACAATAAGCAGGGTTCTGAGCCGAACGAATGTGATGCCATCGGGCGGGGGATGTCGGCTCCTTTATTCTATTTATTCAGCCAACACAATACGATCGCTGAGTCCGACCACAGATAGTAGGGAACGTCAACTAATCGCAAAGAATCTCGCACTTTCTGGAATGTCTCGGCAAGAAGGAGCGCTGCCGCAAGCTCTAGGCGTGGAATGGTAGCAGTTTTGAGTGGTGCCACCTTGATGCGTGCCGTCAGAAAGAAGAAACGCACCGAACCGTTTGTGTTCGACGTCTTTGCATAAATAACTGCGGCATAAGCATGTGAGCTCGCATCGCAAAAACCGTGAAATGATGTCTGAACGCGTGGAATCATTTCCATCCACCGTTCGATGCGAATTTGATTGAGCTCCGGAAGCTGTGACCGATAGTTTAGCCAATCGCGGCAAAGATCCTCAGGCAATGGGGAGTGCCAATAATCCAGTAGGATCGAAGAGATGTGCCACCTCGCTGAGTACACGGCGCTTCGTTCGAATTTCTACTCTTTGACATATATCGATGCGAAAGAGTAACTGATCTTTCAGTGCGTCCAATCTTAAGCCCAAAATGGAAGCTTCACCAGAATAGAAAATATAACTAGAAAGTGACGGCTCATTAGATAAACGCACCATCACCTGACTATCTTTCGAGTGCCATTCCTATGGGGCACGTCCCGCAGATAAGATGGCGTCCACGTTCTTAGCCAGCTCCACTGCTTCGAAACGCTTTCGCAACTTGTTAAGAAGTCGTCAACATAAAACGAGTTTAATATCGCAGTTCGAGCACGAGTTCGCTGTTGTAGTTCGGGAATCACGGAATTATCACAGATACATTGTTGTAGGGTTCGTACTGCTTTGTAAGGACTGCAGGCCATGCCATATGTGAGGTCTTCAGGCGATACACCCGGATCTCGTTTTCAGCAGACTCTCGCCATATATTCGTTGATAGTCGCGATGTTCAGATGCAACAACACTTGCCGAACATCTTCTCTAGTCCGCAGTTATCGCCACTCGATACTCATTGAATCCTGAAGTGTTGGACCTACAGTTGAATACTGTTCGATGAGATTCCAGTGCTGGTAGGTGCCGAAGCGTTAACACCACGCGGAACTTCGTTGTGACTGCAGATGAGGAATGTATAGCAATTAGTATGATCGTAGTGGTTGTACTAGTTCATATGTCCGAGTGCTGCATACTCCCTCATAAATGAAATGTAGTTTTCCTTAAGGACTAATCCTTACGTTGCCTTTCGTCGCAAGGGTAAGTGTATATAACGGCCATCTGAGGTACGGCTATGAGTGGCTCTGAAGATGTGCCCACATTCATTATCTGGCAGATCGACAACCACTGCGATTTCCTCATTTGCCAAAATTAGACACCATTTCCTCGAACGGTGGTTCCTCCTGTCTAGCGAAGTGGTGAGTGTGAGCAATGATTCTTCGCAGAAGTCACGGCTGCTGGACCAAACACGACCATCCAAAGGGTAAAAGGCTCGTCTGGTCTCCCCGATGACTTCCCTCTATGAGTCGCCCCTCACGTCCGCCCGATAATAAAGGCATAGTTACAGGCGTACCGAACCGGTTGTCCGCCAAATCTATGTCACTCAAATATGGCCATTGGTTCATGTCAATCTTCACTGCTGGAGCGGGGAAGTAATGGACGATAAAACCAAGGCATCAATTCTCATTTCAAAGTTAGTTGTTGTTGATCTAAAAGCGAACGTAATGCTGCCTTTCACTCGAGTATTGATGTACAAATACACCTTCTACCCTCAAATCACAACTTCGTCGATACAGCCGCAAACTTTTTGCTAAGACGATTAGTCACAAGCTAACCTAATCAGGGATCGCATAAAACTGATGCTTTTCCAAAGGCATACGCACCGCGTTACTAAAAGGTTTATCGGCTAAGTGTTGCAGCGGAGTCTTGCAGGTGCGACTAGTCATGCTGTTGTGGTTGTTGGTACCTCCGCAGGTACCCCATTGCATACGGTCGGCGTCGTTTGTAGAGCAAGCGTTGACGTGTTGTTGAACTTGTATCGGCATAGGATTGTGTTGTGCTTACGACCACAATTTCGACAGCTACCAGATGAACACTGTCGATAAAATGACCCGTAGGTAGCAGTTAACACCACCTTCAGTACTCTTAGGGCTTCAAACCGTTGCTCGATACTAAGAGCCAATAATGTAGACCCATGACAATCGGTGCGCAAGCCCCCAATGAACACCCAGAGCTGCATCCGTGGTGGCCACATGCATCCACACTCGTTGCTACGGCAAACCATTATTGAGACCGATGGTTCAGGAGAAAGGCTATGAGCACGTCTCTCCAGAAATTTCAAAACGTCTTCTAACTGTGGTATTTCTGTATGAGCACCTCATACACCAATCTCTTTAGTTATCGCTGAAACTTGCCACCACTATTGGTACAGCTAACGCATCCCACTGATGTATGGGAATATCCATAAACGCAATGCACGCACGACCATGAACCTTGTCCACAATAGCCAATAACGATTGTGATGACTCATTGGTAGCTGTTTTAAAGTTAAGCAAACGAGATACGTGTATTTCCGCTAGCTGCTTCTTATTGTCATAGGCGTCCTTGAGAGCCTTCCACACTCTTGATAGCCACCGAGTATTTCCACCAATTAAAGAACAGTAGCCACATTGACTGCCTGACGAAGTTTTCCCAATTGAACTGTCTGGTACGCCGAATTATGTACCATTGTTTCAAAGGCGTCTTGAACGCTAACCATTATCACATGTGTCCATCAAATAACGAATAGCTAACGGTGCAATTTGATTTCACTAAATGGCCATCCAGAGATGTTGTGCGACAATTGTGCGCTCGTCAGCGATATAAGATTCAACATTTGACGATGCGATGAGACGATTAACTCTGATGCATGCTGCAGTATACAGCTCCTCTACGATTCCAAAAGTTCATCATGTGGCCCAACCTCGGAGGACATAGCTCCTCCAACCAGACGATTATGGTTCTCCATGAACACTCAAAATGTTATCAAGCGACTTGAGCTCCTGTTAAAGCGAAATACAACACGACCTTCCATGGCATTTCCGAGACACGTGCATGTATGCGCTTTATTGCTTTCACTGCTGATGTACACCAATTGAGCTCCGCATGAAATTCTTAAAACCCAAATTACAAAACGAAATTAAAAATATTTGTCCTCACAGGAGGCGCTGAGATGTTAATTAATTAATTACCACGGGTAGAGTTCTCATGCTTTATTGGGATCACACCGAGTTACAATCAGAGAAGAGCTCGTACACACATGTCCTCCGACATTTATAGGAGTTCAACGGAATTTAAAATACCGTAACTTTAAATATGCATAAACAAAGATAATTATAAAGGAATAATGATAAAGAAGATGACAAAAATAAAACTTAGATAACACAGTATTGCCAGATCAAAACTTGGCATTATTAGAAAATAAACTTAACAAATGTAAATAATCCTAGACAAAATTACTAAATCTTTAACCCATTTGGTTTTTTTTGTGTTTGTTTATGTTGTATACAAAATACTGAAAATTAAAAATTATTAACATATTTTAATTAATTGGGTATTTGTTTTGGATGTTTTCTATTAAAAATATATATACGGACTTTCAACTGTAGTGGAATGAGGAATAATATGGTTGTAGGTAGACAACGCTTTTTCAACTCTCTATCCCCAGAACTACAAATAATTCGCAATTTTCATTCATTGTTATATGAAACCGTTCAATGTCACCAATATCAGTTCCCAGTTGTTGTAGATCAGGCCCACCCTAATATAATATTAATTCTATGTTTATTACAGTTGTATTTCAATTCAATTTTCTTATATGCTCTGAATTGTCTCGCATCTCATTTACATACATACATTTCCCGCTATACAGTTTCTGTTTCCTTGTTTGTGCGATTTACATGTTTCCATCTCCTCGCATAAACAGGTAGGCACAAACTACTATATATATATATGATTATCTACATGCTTGTTGTTTGTAAACTGCAGTGTCAGTTCCCCATTCTCCGTGTCGATCTGTACGTAAATGACAATATTGTGCATATAAGTTCTGGCAAATCTTCGAGCTTTGTCATCGATCAGCCAGCCAAAGGTGGAAGGACACACTGCGGTAAGTGAAATATATATAATTCTTTGTAAGTGAATAACTAAATGCTTGTGATGAAATAAACAATAAACCAAATATGCGTTAAATTCGCCCCACTCATCGTGCAAATCTTTATTTCGCACGACCAAACGTTTGCGTGTTTGGGTTGTGAAATTAATTTTCGATGCGTAAGTCACCCCGCCGCCAGACACGACCAGTTCGCCAGGCATGGATGGCAGTGCTCCTATCATTCTGCGCATCGTCAAAACTAGCCAGTAACAATGCCATCAGCCACCGCCAACTAGCCACTGATTTACAGCCGCTCCTACAGCCACCGGAGCCACCACTAGATCATCATCACAAACCCAGCCAGTAGTAATACATCCGCCGCCAATGTATCCGTGATTTACCAGCCGCTCCTACAGCCACCGGGCCATCACTCGAGGATCATCAGCTGCCTTCGCACGTCAAGAAAACTTATTGCCCTCTACAGAAACGCATTGCCATGCTAGAGAGTATTTGATATTAGGGAGCACCAATCGCGTGGTGAAGCGTCTAATTGGATACATCCAACAACAATATTGCCGCCGAGGTTCCATTATCGCAAACATCGAGAACAACAGTACAATTGGGAACCGTTCAATTAACGACAACATTCGCCGGCTATAGTGAACTGTACAGTACCGTTGTCGCAGCCTACCGATTCCCGTTACACTCCGCCAAACTTTGAATAGGTACAGCTGCTACAAACCACATGTACAGTACAACTCATTTGGGAATGGATACACCTCAATCCAGTCTAATTCAACGACAATGCCTACATTCACCAATAAATACTCTCAGTCATCGAGTTTGCCCAGGAAATTGCAGGATTTGCCAGACTTTTCTGGACAGCCGGAAGATTGCCAATATTTTATACGGCTTTCATCGAGTCAACCGCGATTATAGGTACAGCAACTACGAAAATAACCAACGGTTATTGAAGAGCCTGAAGGGTACGCGCGAAGCATCAAGTCACGTGCTGATCCACCCGAACAATGTCGGAAATATAATTATTGTTGAAATTAGATTTGGCGCCCGGAGCAGTTGATCCGTAGCCAACTGGCCACTTAAAGGAAATCGCACCTATTTCAGAGAAGCAATGTCGAAAATCATACCATTTGCAACAAATTATGTAACATCTTGTGCTTTTGCAATCTGCACATGGTGTGTAATTACATTTGTCAAACCTACATTACTCGACGAACTTGTGTCAAAATTGCCTATGAGCAAACGCGTTGAGTGGGCAAGTTTCGCACGCTTATTCAGCCATATGCACCAGTGAAACATTTCAGTGAGTGGTTATCGAAATTAGCCAATATAATTTACGGTTTGTGTTGATAGTCGTCCAAGGAATGGAATACGCCCGGTTCTGCACACATACAGCAGCAACGATCAGTGAGATGTCCAATTTGTCAAGGCATCATAAGCCAGCAAGTGTGCGCGTTTTCTAGAATATTCAGTGCCAAACAGATGGATAGAGGCGAAACGACATCCTTGTGTTTTGCTTGCTCCAATTGGTCATAATACACGAAATTGTCAACGTCGCAAGCTATGTCTCAATTGAAGGTTGCCGGAGAGTTCATCATAACTCCTACATGAAGCCGTGGGGAATACTACAAATCGTCAAGTCAAAACCACGCTTTCCTCCTGCGTATACCGAAGCAAATCGTAGGCCTACATCAACGCAGCATACACTCGACAGCCAGCCAACCATCAAAAGATGCTGGCCAGCATCTTAAGTTGCAGTTCCACGATAGTAAACTCCTTCCGTATTTTGCGGTCACCCATACGGAAACCAAAGGCGTTGTGACACTTACGCACTCCTGACAAGGTCATCTATCAAATGAATAACAGTGCTCTTGTTCGAGACTTGAAATGCGTGGATGTGAGCAGCATTGAATGTTCAGTGTTTGGAGGACATGCGCGCAGGAGTCAACGTTTGTGTAGACTTGCTTATTAGTGGTGCCGGTATGCAAAACAATAAACTCCCAATGTGTATGCTGATCAAACTTGCAGCTTCCTCTAAGAGTTTAAGCAGGACGATTTGGATCACAACTTTAAACATATAAGCCGGCTTCCAGTACAATCTAGCCAGGTCAGGCCCAGACTCTTGATTGGTCTGTCATTGCCATTTGGGATTGCCCATCGACAACTATGAAGG